GTAAGTTATTCACAAAAATAGTTTTTATTTTCATTGTACTCAGCAAAATGCAACACTTGTGGGAACAGTTTGAGTGGCCATTATAATGAAAGTTTTATTAATTTTTATTAGTACCTCAGGGTTTTTTAGGTTTTTTGTTATGACTTTTTTCCATTTTCTATAGTGATAATATCCCATTATTTTCCTAATTTTTACTCTCTTTTTTTTTATTTTTTGATTGTCACTAATCTTTTTATGTATCTAGTTTTACCTTATATTTTATAATACTATTTACTATTTATACTTCTATATCGTTCCTTTTAATTTTTTGGAAAGAATAGACTAAATTAAATATATATCTTTCGTAATGAGAAAAAATAAGTAAAAATCAAAACAACCAGTTTATTCAATTAGTTCATTGGCATAAGAATCATTGGAGTAACTTTGGCTTCACGTTCCTTGTAAACTTGGAAGGCAATTTTATCCATATCCTTTCTTCCTTCTTTAGTAAGGGCTCTTCCACTTTGGATCTTAGCAACTATGCCCATCTTCTCGAGTTGTTGAAGAATATATCTATTAACTTTTCCTGATCCAAGAGTTCTATGGGATGGATTATAGTGTTTGTTGTATTGGTCACCATAAGCTCTTCTAAGTGCCATTACTCCAATTCCATTGTTTAAATAAACTTTTCTTGCAATTGCAGCAGCTCTAATATAAATCCAATCTGGATTCAATGGTGCAAGTTCTTTGCACATACCAGTCTTGACAGTGTCAACCCATTCTGGAATTTCGAGCTTTCCAGACTTCTTAAGATGTTCGGCATATGCCTTAATGAAATCAATAGCAACAACGTCTTTAATATTACTGAAGTGGTGCATTCAGTCTGGTCAATTGCTAGGGTTATTTTCTCAGTTCAGGTTAATACAATCCTCATATTTTTTTTTTATAATAAATTTACTATAACTTTTAAATTATTTTTTTCTTTTTAATTACTTTATAATAACATTTTTTAGATTCTAAAATAGAAAATAATGTTATTTATTATTTTTTAAAAAGAAAATGAAGAAAAATAAAATATCTTTTTTATCAGATTATTTGATTATTTAAAATGGATGAAACACAACCACTTATTCAATCCACCACTTCTTTTTTCAACTCTTTTTTTGCTACTGTTACTTCTTTTGAAACTCCATTAAAATCTGAGAAAGATATGGGTACATTACTATTTATTGTAAATGTTTTTAATGGTACAGTTGGTATTGGTTTAATTATGTTATTAGATGTTTTTATTAATTGTGGTGTTATTTTAAGTTCAATAACATTTATATTAGTATTTATTAATATTTTAATATCAACAATTTATTTATTTGATTCAATGGCAAGAACTAGTGGTGCAGCTGCAGCAATGGAAATAGGTGGATTTCCAAAGAATGAATTAGGTCAAATGATGTTTGACTTTCCTCGAATGCTTTCTTTTCATTTATATGCTAAAGGGAGAATTATTTCATTTATAGTATCTATTTCTTATTTACTTTCTGCTTTATGGTGTTCATTATCATTTTGTTATTTGTGTATTAGTAAAATTGTTAAATCATTTGATATTTTAGAAGATATAAACTTTGATTGTTCATTAATTTCATTGATTACTTCGTATGAATTAAATGGTAAAGTATGTGGAAGTTATTATGGAATTTCATTTGGATTTATGTTAATATTTGTTGTTTTATCTATGATTAATCCTAAAATTTTTCAAAAATTACAGTTATTATTCTAAAGGTTTGTTTTTTATTTACTTATATTAAACAAAATTAATGATTTATTTCTTTAGTATAGG